TTCTTTGACGAGTAATACAACTTATGGTAAACCCATTGCTGGATAAGTTATTTATGGTAACCGATACTTCGTTCTCATTTTATTTTAAAAATAATGCGTTTTATTGTGCATAAATTCTGTGTTTAAAATATTATTTACGGCTTTTAAATATTAAAAATCAATTTGGTTGATCTTTACATTACGGTAACTGGTAGTTTGGCGACATTTTGGAGGCGATAAAGGTTACTACCTGGGACTTTGGTAATAATGTGAGCAGTACTGAGTTCCGATTACGCATTATTTTGTGTGGGGGAAATGCGAGATCATGGGATATGTTATGTGATATTAATGGACGAATTACGGTTCTTTAATCGGAAAAGGGGGGAAATCGGGAAAAAATCGGAAAAAAAAAAATCTGGAAATTTTTATTGCGTTTAGCATTTTGGCTTTATTCTGTGTTGTGTGAAATAGTGTTGTGAATTTTTGGATCCCATGGCCGTAAGTAAAGTGAATTTGAAATGGGTATTTAGTGGTATTGAAAAGGATAGTAAGAACGTTTTTTAAGGTTGTGTGAGAGAGAAATAAACATGTTTTATTATGTTATTTATTTTACCTGGTATCTTGCTTTGAAAGATAAGTATGATTTTAAAGATTCTGAAAGAGAATGAAAGAAAAGTGTATCCGCCACGTAATGAAGATTCTGAAGGAGATTAGGTAAGTTAGTATTTTTTAATTATTTTTATGCATTGTTGGAAATGTAAGGTGGAAAGGAATTTGGTATTATTGGGAAAAAATTGTTATTAGCAATGATTTAGTTTAAAGTAATTAGGATTGTAAGGTAATTTTTATTAATTGAATGTATGTGCTCATGTATATTTTAAGTGGTGTTTTTGAATTTAATTATATTTTAATGAAATGATAGTTATTTTGTGAATTTTATACTTGTAGGAATTTGGTGTGTGTTTAAGTTGAAATAAATGTGCATGGAAATAATTTAAATATTTGATAATAAATATTTGTAATGCTTCATGTATGAATTTGTTGGTGACGTGTATAATGTAATAGATGATTTAGAGGTAAAAGTTTTTGGATATTTTATTTATTTTATATGTGGAAATGTTCATATTTGTAAAGGGTAAATACTTTTTCGCGATCATGTAATTTCATATATGTTCTTTTTACCGGGTTTAAAGATTGAGAAAATTGTCATGTATTTTCGTGAAATTTTTTTAATTTATGAGATAAAAGCAGTGTACATGGATATAGTGAAGAGTGTGCGCAATGCCATTTTTGTGCAATTCTGGGATGTTTTTTTAAGTAAAAATAAGTCGACGTGTACATGGTTCAGTGATATTTTAATGAAATGATAGTTATTTTGTGAATTTTATGCTTGTAGGAATTTGGTTAACGTTTAAGTTGAAATAAACGTGCATGGAAATAATTTAAATATTTGATAATAAATATTTGTAATGCTTCATGTATGAATTCGTTGGTGACGTGTATAATGTAATAGATGATTTAGAGGTAAAAGTTTTTGGATATTTTATTTATTTTATATGTGGAAATGTTCATATTTGTAAAGGGTAAATACTTTTTCGCGATCAGGTAATTTCATATATGTTCTTTTTACCGGGTTTAAAGATTGAGAAAATTGTCATGTATTTTCGTGAAATTTTTCGAATTTATGAGAAAAAACCAGTGTACATGGATATAGTGAAGAGTGTGCGCAATGCCATTTTTGTGCAATTCTGGGATGTTTTTTTAAGTAAAAATAAGTCGGCGTGTACATGGTTTATGTGTATGTGTTATTTTGAAAAACGCGTAAGGTGTATGGTATTGTGCACTTTTTCTGAATTTTGCAGTGAATATTTGTCATGATTAAGCAGTTTTGTTTGATAAAATTTCTAGCATAAGTGTAATTCGGCTAGTAGATTGTTGGAAGAAGTGTTCAGTAGATAAGAAGAAAAGAAACATGTCTTTACTTCGTGAAGACAAAATGGCGGCGGGGAAAAAAAAAATAGAGGGTTGCTGTAGGGGAGTTGGTCGCCAAATTTTCGCCAAAAAATCGCCAAGTTACCGTAATGTAAAGATCAACCATCAATTTAATTTTGCATTTTTATTTGAAATAAAAATTTTATTGTTTATCATATTTTATGAAATTTTATGTTGTGGATGATGTAATCAATGACGTCACCTTACTTTAAAAGTAATTCATTTTAATATGTATAAATTTAATCTAATGTTTTAAACATTATTTATGGCTCTTAAATATTAAAATACAATTTAATTTTGCATTTTTTAAAAAAATGATTTTATTATGTATGAATTTTTAAATAATTTTAATTCTAGCCGTGATGCCGTGATGTGATAAGCTCTCTGATTGGTTATACAATATTTGTGCATTAACGAGCTGTAATCAGCTCCCTGATTGGTTACTGACAATTTGTGCATTTCCGCGCCGTTTTAAAATTTAATTCATATCTTCGAATTCCTTCAAAGATGCTATCTAAATTATGATTCTGAATTTTTTTGTGGTACTTATCAATAAACATTAGGTTAAATACTCAAAAAAATGTAAGTACATATTTTTATTTTATTTTATAATTGTATACTTCAATTTTGTTTTAAAAAAATTAATACACTATTTTCAGAAATTGCTGAGATAATTATTGTCCATATGTTTTAATGTTAATTATATTCTATATAACGTATTTTAAAGTATCTGAATTTAATAATATTCTAATTCTTTTAAATGTTGGTATGATGGTTTTTAATTCGATATTCAATTTCAGTAATATTTTAATCTAATTAAACGTTGGCTCAATGTTTTTATAGCAGTGTTTTTATTCTCTTCTTTCCTATATGAAAGTAATAATAACCTTACTTTAGTATTTTATACTCATAGTAAATGTATTTATTTACACTTGCCTGCCATCTTAAAAAACGACAATTTCAACAAAAAATTAATCCATTACTTTTAACGATATTTATTATTTTTTTTTTTTAAATTTTATTTATTTATTTTTCTTTAAGTTTCGAATACTTTACTATGCATACAAACTGCGTTTTTCAAGATGGCTGACGTTTTTAAAAATTGCGCCAACAATTCCGCCAACGTAAATCGCCAAAAATCCGTGCAACCGTCTACCAAAGTAGCACCGAATTTTGTCTGACTGAAGACGTGTTAATTCATAAATAAGGTAAGTGGATATTTCCTTTGTGTAGTGAAGATGAATTTCCTTTTTTATGTTATTTCATTGTTGGATTTAAAACGTAGTTTATTGAGATTACATATTTGTTGGCTGCTCCTTTGACTTTTTAAGTGAATATAGTTTGATGTGTACATGGACAAAGTCAAGGGAGTGCACAATGCCAAGTTTGTGCAATTCTCTGATGTTTTTCGAAGTGAAAATGCGTCGATGTGTACATGGCTAAAGTCAAGGGAGTGCACAATTCTTTGATGTTTTTTAAAGTGAAAATAGGTTGATGTATACATGGATACTGAGTTTCTGCAATTCTTTGTCTTGTTATTTCGGAAAGCAAAAATAACAAGACAAAGAATTGCACAAACTCGGTATCCATGTGCCACCAAAAATCGCCAAGGGGTACGCATAAATATATGTTTACCGTGTATTTCATTACATGTTTATAATCAATAAGCTCACTAAAATGTATAGTAGGTGCATCATAATTTTAAATTTAATATTCTAATAATGTTGAAAATATTAATAAAAATACTCAAAAAATAAAAATTTCAGTAACTACTCTATCTTAGACAGATATTACACCAAAAGTTGTAATTATTAGTATCTTAGATAAACATTATCTTGAAAGCAATGCCAATGTTGCTAACAGAACAGTAATGAATTGGATTAAGTGTTTCACTATAACTTTCTTAAAAAGGATGCAAAGATTCCTAACAATTTAATTTAACACAATATATGCTATCTGTGTATTTTATTACATGCTACATAAATTGTCTACTTTAAATGCATTTTTAATGCAAAAAAAAAAAAAAATAATATATATATATATATATATATATATGTGAAACGTGAAGAAAATGATATAGACGAAAAATATTTGCACATTCCTTTTTAAATTTTTTTTATTAGAAAAACATACTATTCGTCACAACACATCTCTGACTATTATACTTCAAATACAACTAGTAGGTAAAATCCTAGGAGAGTCCACACTCTTGGCGACAAACTGGGAAAGTGCAGAATCACCCACTGCTTCGTGCGTTTCTCAAAATTGCCAACTTGGAAAATAACATGTCAAAGAATTGCACAAACTTAGTATCCATGTACAAATCAATCTTTTTTCACTTAAAAAAAAAAAAAATCAGAGAATTGCACAAACTTGGCATTACGCACTCCTTTGACTTTGTCCATGTACACATCGATATGTGCCATTTAATGGGCAATTCTTCACATTACCCTTAGTTCAAGGATTTATGTGGTTAAAAAATATCTAGTGTATCAAAGTAAGGTTACCAAGACTGGTGCAATTATCCGCCAACCAAAATCATTCGCGCCATCGCGTCAAGAGTGTGGGCTCTGCTAGGATCCAACCCAACAAGTATTTTGGAAACTAGTACGATTCCTTAACGGCAAAAAACTATAATAAATATTGATCGCGTTTAAAATTCGATATGTATCTTTCTAAAATTTCCTAACAACCTTAACATAACACAGCTCTTTTAATAACAATAAGCAATCAAAGAAAGAGTGGGGCTCTGTAATTATAAATGTCAAGAATTTATTTCACAGTGAGTCAGATAATTATCGCTATGAAATAATTACATGACTATACCATATCATGGCGTTTTTCGGAAAGGTGTCTCAAATTCCCGTTATACATAATTTCCTTATGTATAGGTTGAAATCTTTCATATAATCATCTGGTGTCTCTAGGAATATTAAATCTTAACTACTTGACAATCCGTGGACTTTATTTTATAATTGATTCACCTCGTCTAAACGAATCGAATGTGAAATAATATTTTGGTTACATACCTGCTTCGTTTCTGCATTTTTTAAATTGCTTAAAAAAGCATTCGAGTCTACAGCCCAATGAAACTGAAACTTGTGAAAAGACTTATCTTGGCTAGGATTGAAAAGGCCTGAATTGTTAAGAACAGAGTTTAGAGTTTCGAATGTTTTCTCTACAAATCTTGACATATTTATGACTGATGTTAAACATTTTATACTTATGAGCCGAATACCCTTAGTTAAAACAGTGTCAAAACTTTTTTCAAAATATATCGATCGACTAGAGTTCGGAAGAGATGAGTTTAGTACATCACTGTTTACTTCTCAGAGGAACAAAGTTTTAAATGATTGGACATATAATATAGTAATTTAATTCCTCGTTTAAATAAATTAAATAAGCTTATAAATGTTTTTAATGAATTATTAAAATTATTTACCTCAAAATTTAAAATATTTAACAACAAATCCTAATATTTATTCTCAGCTAGCGAAGTAAGTAAAAAAAGAAACTTTTACTAACTCCATTAGAAACAGAACTAAACGCTAACTGAAATGAAGAAATTTGTTTAGTATTCGCCGTTATGGTGGAAGCGGGGGCTGTGAATTTGGATGCTTTGCATTCAGGATTAAAAGCTATAAAATCTTTACGGAGTACTGTATTAGAAGTTTTCAAATTTCTCGGTGATGGAGCTACAGCTGCCTATGGTGATGAAGAACGTGAAAAATTTATCAGTGAAGTGCAAAATCTGTTGACAAATGTTAGATCACGGATGCGGTAATGATATACTGTATTTCTTAATTTATATTTAGGTCATTGAAATATCAAGTTTCTCACCTTTTGGAATTATTTTAAAATACGTATATTTAAAATTCTTTTAAAAATCATATGTATGGTTTTTAAAGTATCGGAAGTTGTAACCATTTTCTGAAGTATTTAATTGCGTTAATGGCTGTAAGTTTGCATTCAGAGTGATGAGTTGTCAGTCGTTAAAATATTTGAACCATTATTGAAATTTTTTCCACGCCGAAACGTATCTCAACCATATCGTAGACAAATGATAACTATTTGAGCGTATTAAAAGCGATATTTCGCATGTTCGCGAATTAAAAACTGGAGAGCTGTAAAGAAAAATAAATAAATTAACCTTGTTATAGCTTCTAGATATTTTACGCATTGCTGTCAAGAAAAGGCAGTTGTTGTAGTCAGTCTAATAGGTATCCAAATTTTGAGACAGTGGAGAACGGTTGAATTCATTCGTACTGTCATACTCAATTCATTTACTGCCATGATGAAATTTATACTTTCATTGCGCAAAGTGAATAGCAAGCACCAGAATTTCTAAAATACTTCATATTAGCACTGGAACTTGGTTTTGAATCCTAGTTTGATGTGCTGGCTGCATAGCTGTTTTTATGATTTTTCTCAGTATAATGTGAATATAAAGCAATTTCTCTTAAAATGTCATGAAGGCCCACCAGCGGCCGAGCCGTAACTTCGCTGAACACTGGTAGTTCGGTCCGAGGTTTGAATCCCGTGAACGGGCTGGCTGCATGGGTGTTTTCGTGGTTTTCCCCATGTGTAACGTGTATACGAGCCAGTTTCCCTTAAAAAGTCCTCCACGAAGGCATCCCTCCCTTAAGACGGTTAGCCCTTGAGTGCTTTGTCATAATCAAATAAACCAAACCTTAAAATGTCATGTATAATAATATCATTCCTCTTAAGCTTTGCCAGTGAAGTTTACATATGTTTTATGACATACAAAATCAAACCTGAAAGTATTCGAATTATAATCAAATTAGGTTGATCTTCAGAATATGGTAATGGGTGATTTGGGAATGAATTTTTAATGATAAGAGTTGGAAGATGATCAGCTGTAATTTGAGAGTTTTGGAGCGACAATTTTACATACATAAACATATGCAGAATAAGTTCTATGTTTTAAATAACCAAGATATATACTTTCAGTCATTTTTTATTAATTTAATTTTCATCCATTAATGTTTGCATCACAGATTTCATCATACTAATTTTTATTCTATTTTTTTTTTACTATTTATTTAATTATCTCATATGTATATTTCAACCTTGAAAATTAATATGAGCATAATAACTGTACATAAATATGCATATTTTTTAACTGTTGGATATTTTCATACATGCTCTCTCTCATCTCTATTTTGAAATTTCACCATAATTTGCTACATTTTTGTTCAGAATTCGGTGAATTTTTGGATTATGGTAACTTGGCGAAAATTTGGCGACCAACCCCACTACAGCAACCTGCTAGTTAGTTTTTTTGGGGGACGCCACTTTTTTTTCACGAAGTAGACATGTTTTTTTTGTTTTTTTTACTCAACATTTTTTCCAACAATCTGCTAGCCAAATTACGCTTATGCTAGAACTTTTATGGAACAAAAGTGCTTAATCATGACGAAGATTAGGTGTGAAATTAGGAGAAGGTGCAGAATCGCCCTCTGCTTCGTGTGTTTTTAAGAATTGCACATACGCGGTATCCGTGTACACGTCGACCTATTTTCCCTTAAAAAAAATTCCAGAATTGCACAAAAATGGCATTGCGCACACACTTGACTTTATCCATGTACACATTGACTTATTTTCACTTAAAAAGTCAAAGAAAATTGACAAAAATCCAATTCTTCTTACTCTTGTAAAAAGCGCCAAACAAATAAGTGGGTGATTCTGCACTTTAGCAGCGAAATTGTTTCTAAGTGCTTATTAGCTGAAATCACGATTGAATTTTCCGGAAAATGTTACATGACATGTCTCATGATCTCTCATTTCTCTGAGACAAAATAATCTGTGATTCGAACTGTATACTTCTCTGATTATTGCTAAAGTGCTACCTAGTAACCTTTATCGCCTTACCAAAACGTCGTCAAACTACCTGTTACCATATTCCAAAGATTAGCCCAGAATTCTTCTAATTTATTTTAAAGCTTATTTAAATGTTACGCATATCAATTTGTTCTGGAGAAAAGAGATTTCTATATGTATTTGTTTTGCTATTTTAGCTAATTTAGGTGTTTTGAAACATCTTCAGAAAATATTTTTAGTCTGTATTTCAAATGTAAAGCATGAAAGTGGAAAAATTGTGTCATAAATGTAACTTGGCTCGGAATCAAAACAAGAAAAATGTAGCAACCCCCACTTTCCCCAAAAAGTACTTTGTCTCACTTTCAGTGAAAAATTTCCATCGGTATTTCAGTTAATTTAGGTGTTTTTAAACATTTTATCTTGTATTTTTCATCTCTGTTTCAAAGGTAAACATTTACATTTCAGTAGTAACAGTAAGAAACTAGAAAAGTCCTATTGGAAACAAATTTGGCTAAGAATAAAAAAGAAAAAGGCTAATCTTTGGAATATGGTAACAGGTAGTTTGGCAACATTTTGGTAAGGCGATAAAGGTTACCAGCTAGGACTTTAGCAGTGTACATGAATAAAGTCAAGAGTGTGCGCAATGCCATTTTTTTGCAATTCTGGGACATTTTTGAAGTGAAAATAGGTCGATGTGTACATGGATACCGTGTATGTGCAATTCTTAAAAACACGGCAAGCAATTCTGCACTTTCTGCCAATTTCGCACCTAATCTTCATCATGATTAAGCACTTTTGTTCCATAAAAGTTCTAGCATAAGCGTAATTCGGCTAGCAGATAGTTGGAAAAAAAATGCTGAAGGGCAAAAAAAAATAAAATAAAACATGCCTTTACTTTGTGCAAACAAAATGGCGTCCAAACAAAAACTAGCAGGTTGCTGTAGCCAGGTTGGTCACCAAATTTTCGCCAAAAAACCACCAAGTTACCATAATCCAAAGATTTTAAAAAAAAATGCTGTAGAAAGAAAACGTGTAGGATGGTGAGGGGTTGGTCGTTGAATTTTTGCTAAGTTACTGTTAATAAAATATTCACTCAAATTGTTCTGCTTTTCATATTTCATGTCTGTTTATTGTTTTGAGTGCTCTGTTTTTATCCGTTATTTGTTGTTCATTTATAAAATTACCACAATTATTTTCATTAAAAGACCATGAAGAAATATTTTTCTTTTCTGAAAATTTTAAAACTTGTACATATCTGTGAATTGCTGGGAAAACTCTAGAAATACTTCCTTTTGTCTAAACATATGCTTTTACTTAAACTAAATGAATTTTTTTTTTTCATTCCAACTTGCTAGTTTGATTTTAATAAAGATTACTTAACATATTATTTGGATTGTCAAAAATATTAGTAGAAAGATAACCTTGCAACAATTTTTTTAAATTCCTACTATTAGCTCACACTCTCCCTGTATCTTGCTCAAATTTTCAGTTGTTAATAAAATACATTTTATTCATCCACTCAAGTTCAAATACACTTTTTTAAACTTCTAGTGGATGACACTTGATGTTAATACAGTTTTTTCACATATTAAAGTTAATAATGTTAATAAAAAGTAACTAAAATAAAATTTTTCTTTCTTGACCTAAGAATTGACTTTAAAATTTTTTTGGGCGAAAATTTGTGTAGCGGCAATTTTTGTGCCAAAAACCGCCGCTACACAGAGTCAAAATAACAAGGCAAAGAATTGCACAAACTCGGTATCCATGTACACATTGACTTATTTTTACTTAAAAAAAAATCAGAGAATTGCACAAACTTTGCATTGTGCACTCCCTTGAGTTTTAGTGCTTTATCCATGTACACATCGACCTATTTTAAAAAACATCAGAGAATTGCACAAACTAGGCATTGCAAATCCCTTGAGTTTTAGTGCTTTATCCATGTGCACATCGACCTATTTTAAAAAACACAGAGAATTGCACAAACTAGGCATTGCACACTCCTTTGACTTTGTCCATGTACACATTGAACTATATGTGCTTAAAAAGTCAAAGGAGCAGCCAACAAAAAAATATATAATCTCATTAAACTACATTTTAAATCCAACAATGAAATAACATAAAGGAAATTCATCTTTGCACTACACAAAGGAAATATCCTTATTTACGAATTAACATGTCTTAAGTCGAACAAAATTTCTTAATAGCATCCAAAAACTTCCTAAAATTATCTAAACTATAGAAAGTCTTTTAGGCCCTATTGGATTGCAAAGTGAATTTTTGTTCTATCTGATAATGTAGAACAAAGTCTGATAAAGATTTAAAATATCTTATACAGTACAAAGTCCAAAATCCAGACGTCCATTATCCGGAATGATCTAAAATCCGGACCTCAAAGCCACAAACATTTTTTTTTTTTTTTGTATGCTTCACGCATGCACATTTTATTTTTCCTTCCATAATAAACCACGTTGAGATTTCCACTTAAAAATTCCAATTCTTAATTTTACTTAGGCACTAAATAAACATAAATTTGTGAGATTAATAATTTGGCTCCATAGCTGAGTGTCTGCTTGGCATACATTTCAAACTGAAACATTCACCTATTTTATATCCCTGACGCCAACCTGGCAATTACGTTTTGCTTTCATCACTGCATATTATTTATTATATTTTGCTTTCATCACCACATGTTTATCAATACGTGACAGCTTCAGTAATAACTCATGCAGTGATGTCTAAACTTTTTTTTATATTAGTAATTGAATAACAAGAGTATGGCAACCTTTTAAGCTAACATTAGGCTTGGCAATGATTAGATTTTTAAATGCGCTTAAGAAATGTTAACGAGGAAAAATTCAACAAAAATTTCTTTTCATATGCTAAAAATAGATTTTGTCATTAAAACTCATAGACCAAAAGATTACATTTAGTGCTATATTAATTAAGAATAACTGATATGTTATTCACCATAAACCCATAAGCGGCAGCAGAATATGACGGCACCGGACGGCAGAATTTAGGGAAGACAAAATTTTTGGAATTTGGGTAAAATTAAGGGATGAGAAGTTTTTTATAATGCAAACTTTTCGTATTCTCGACACAGCAATTACAGGAACTTTGAACAAGAAATTATGTCTGTTTATAAAATTAAAGAGAAAGTATTAGCATAAAAAATGAAGCAACTTAAACAACTTGCATTGAAGGAAATGTTTAAAAAGTAAACAAATATTAAGCTGTTTATTTTAATAAATGTTGATAACCTTTAGATCATAATTGCTCTTTATTTCATAAGTTACAATTTCATATTTTTAATTGTATAATTTCTGCATGTCATCTTACCAGATTTAAATTGATGATCTAATATCCAGAAAAATCCCAAATCTGGAATCGCCGAAGTCTCGATGAGTCTGTATTTCGAACTTTGTACTGTACTAGCAGAATTACCGATGCCAGTTAAGTTAGATTGACAGTAACAGACTAACAGAAACATCTAACAGAAAGAATGATACCGCTGTAATTGGCTCTACTCTTATAGTCGCCCTAAGATCACCAAATGTGCCGATATATGCTCTGCGCTGGTTTACAATTACGGTGCTCTGCGGTGGTTTTGAGGATGATGTTGTTTGTATGGCAAGCCTTTTGACGTTGAAACTGAACTCTTTTGCTGCAGTGGTTTAATTGCTTGTTGGTTCGTGTCGTGCATATTTTGAAATGGCCTATGTTGCAATGATAGACGTGGTGGCAAGATTTCACTCGTGTATTTTAGATTGTATGGAAAGTAAATTTAGTATTAAAAGGTAAGATGTTGGAGTTGTTAACGAGTCTTTTGTTCATGGGTGTGTTTATGAGGATCGAAGTGTATTATTAAAATTTCTGTGGGACTTTTAAAACGGAGTCCGAAATGCGGAGCTGCTATGAGAACTCAGACGAAGAAGGGTTTTTCTGATAGTTCTTGTGTGGATTTGCAGTTAAATGCTTACTGGTAAGGTATGTAGCTATCAGCAGAGTTTAAGATTTGGATAGTGGTTTTCATGTAGTAAGTTAACTTTGGAGGAAGTTTTTATTGTTACTTTCAAAATTTTGAATCGCAGAAAGACGTGTGATATAGCAAAATCGTGGCACTTTTGTTCACAGATGTTGTGTGAATGGCGAAATTTTATTAACAAATGTATTATTATAAGTGCATTTTATTTTACTGTTTTTATTTTGTAGGATGTTATGTTCATTGTTTTTTTACTATGAATTTATGTTGTTGTTTTTTGAATTGTTTGTAATTTTAATTATTTTAGTTTATTTTGTTGATTTGTGTGCAATGCCTAGATTGTGCAATTCGTAGATTTTTTTTTTAAAGTTTAAACAGGATGCTGTGTACATGGTATTCTTTGAAATTTATTGTTGTTATGTTAATTTATTAAAGCAAGGTGTGTGTAGTTTGTAGATTTGTTCATTGCGTAGATTGTGCAATTCGTAGATGTTTTTTGAAGTTAAAACATATCGCTGTGTACACGGATTCTTGTCAAATATTTTTGGTTAGAAACTTTACGTTTTTGCTATGTAAATTTTTTGTTTTTGTTTTGGATTTTTAGCTTAAATTTAGTGTTCAAAACGTGGTTTTTGCATGTGTGAAAAGCACGTTTTGGGAGACATTTTAGGCTTAAAATTCGAAATGCAGACAAAAAATTTAAATAGTAATATGGTACCATGGAATTTCTCGCCAAATATTTGGCAAGAAACCAAGCGAAATTTGTTGCCAAGTGAGGGCGTATATAAGAAAAGTTCCCTGTAATCCTCTAATAATGATGCAAAAAATAGTATTTATTCATAGTCATATATTTTTCAGTTTGATGAGATATGGAAACCACATAAAAATTTTCTATAGAAAAATAAGCTAATTCTCTCTCATATCAGCAACCATGGCACAGAGTTTTTAAAGATTTTTGTCTTTCGAATCAAATAATTGTAAAAGCTCAAGTTCCATCAAATATTTCACCTATATTCAATTTTAGTCGATTAAATGCGGCAAAAAAATTTATCATAATTGATCAGAAATCAATAATGCAAATGAACAAACACATAAACACATTCTTCTTTATATATATATATAGATTGTGTAAAACTTACAAATTTTTTATTAACAAACTCTACGATTTGAAAGCAAGCAGTAGCAACACTTTTCAAAATGAAAATGATTGATATTAATTAAAGTGCACCCTTATGGAAAGTGATGGATTGTTTTAAAACTGCTTCTGCTTTGATGGAAATCAGCGAATTACTATAAAGCTAATCATGCCCTGATGGAAGGCATTGAATTGTTCTAAAGCTACTTATGCCCTGAAGGAAAATGTTGAATTATTCTAAAGCTACTCGTGCTTTTATGAAAAAACTCAGTGGTTACAAAACTACTCACTCCCTCATGGGAAAACTCTGAATGTTCTCTTATTGTTGTTTTTCAATTTTATATCCAACACTCAAGACTGTTGCCACTTGGAAAAATGAGTGTGAAAATTAGTGTTTTCAGAGTTTTAATTAATATCTTGGCTGATTAAAGTCATATGAAGATGGGAACAGTCAAAATGGCTTTTCACAAATTTTTAAAATTGGGAATAATGTATTTACTGTTTGGCAATGGTATTTTTATTTCATTGGAAAACTTAATTTTTTATTAAAAAACTCTGCGATTTGAAACAGTTGCAACACTTCTCGAAATAAAGCAGATTTTTATCTGCAGTGTGAGAGACTGCTACCACTTGGAAAAATGAGGTTAAAAATTAGTGTTTGCAGAGTTTTTAATCAATATTTCTGATAATTATTATATCCTAATATCTTAATTATAATTCCTTAATTGATATAATCTCTGATTTCTTAATTGCAAACATACAATCAGATATTCTTCTTTATATATATATAGATTTCCATGTATAAACCAATGATTTTTGGAACTTTTTTTTAAATTATGGAGATCAGCTTATATGCAAAAATGCTTAATTGCTGTAAAGCTATACACACACCCTTATGAAAAAATGCTGAATCATTGTAAAGCTGCTCGTGTCCTTATGGGAAAACACTGAATTGTTCTAAAGCTACTCATTCCCTTATGGAAAATACTCATCCTTACTAAATTTACGTGCACCCTTATGGGAAAATGATGAATTGTTTTAAAACTGCTTGTGCATTGATGGAAAGCAGCGAATTACTATAAAGCTAATCATGGCATGATGGAAGGCATTGAATTGTTCTAAAGCTACTTATGCCCTGAAGGAAAATGTTGAATTATTCTAAAGCTACTCGTGCTTTTATAAAAAAAACTCAGTGGTTACAAAAGTACTCACTCCCTTATGGGAAAACTCTGAATGTTCTCTTGTTGTTTTTCAATTTTTGAAGATTGCCATGCTGTTTTTTAATATTAAAATTTTAGATGTTGAAATGTTTTGCCTAAACATAAGTGGTGTCCGCTTTAATACTGAAGTACCAAATGAGTTAACAGTTAAAATTAGGAGGTTGGAAGAATAGAAAGAAAATGCTTGTTTTCTCTCTTGCTTTTGCCCCTTCCCTGAAAAAATATTGGTACAACATAGAAAAGTTTTTTAAAATCTGTATGTCATAAAAGTATACTTTCTGTGTATGGGGTAAGTTCAACAAGAATTATTTATGTTTATAAATGATCACATTAATTAAAAAAATATGAAGTTCTTTTTAGTTTACTTGAAGTATTTGATAATATTCAAAAATTGTTTCTTTATGAATAAAAAATTATATTTAACATGCATTTTTTGGATTTAGTTTTGTGTTTTTCTTATATTCTTGCTTTTGATCAATATTCAAGTGTAATTTATATATATATTTTAATTTTTATTTTTAAGAGACCTCGAGACAGCATCTACATTATTGGGATCCCCAAACTCGCCTCTTACTTTAGGAAATTCTGGTTTGCTTAGCCAAGATCCAGCTTATGAAAAAACACCTTTATATACTGAGCTAATAAAATCCTACCGTTGGTTTGATAAAGTAAGGCCTTTTTGATACATTATCTCAAGTATTTTTTATAAAATTTTATAATGTATATGTTTTTTAATTTTTAAATATGTATTATATTTGTTTTTAAAACTTTTTTCTGGTTAGAACTTCTGCTGCAGCTTTGTGAGGTTTAAAAACATGGCCAGAGTCTTTTTATCTCTTTGAAGATTAGGCTCTTCAAAAATATCTGCTTTCTGACAAATTAATAAATACATATTTTTACACACTGTTATGTTAGTTATGGGGGAAAATTATGGCTTTTTAAATAGAACTGCAGTTTGCAAACTTTTGATTTTTGCAAACTTGTCCTGTAATTTATACGTATTCATAAAACCAAAAATTCCCTACATTTAACATGTAACTAAATTTGTTTAGGTAAAAATATATTTATTCATGGTAGGGTGCCCCTTGGCGAAAATTGCCGATTTTTGGCGATTGACCAGCAAGGGACAATTTCAAGCCGAGTGCTACACAAAACAAAAATAACAAGTCAAAGAATGCACAAACTCAGTGTTAATGTACTCATCAAGCTATTTTCTCTTAAAAAAATCAGAGAATTGTGCAAACTCGGCATTGCGTACTCTCTTGACTTTGTCCATGTACTCATCGATCTATTTTCACTTTAAAAAAAATCAGGAAAATGATGACATCATATAATGTTAAAACAAAGTTACTCATCACCAAAATTGAACAAAATTTGTAGCTTATGAAAGCTCAGTAAACTGCATTTTAAATCACACAAGGAAATAACATAAAAAAGGAGTTCACCAGCGGCCGAGTGGTAAAGTCGCTGAACACTGGTAGTTCGGTCCGAGGTTCGAATCCCGTGAACGAGCTGGCTGCATGGGTGTTTTCGTGGTTTTCCCTATGTGTAACGTGTATACGAGCCAATTTCCCATAGAAAGTCCTCCACGAAGGCATCCCTCTCCTTAGGCAGATAGCCCTAGTGTGCTTTGCCGTAATTAAATACACCACCGCCATAAAAAAGGAAATGCATGTTATCGCATATACGCACTACGAAAAGGAAATATTGACTTACCATATTTAGAAATTTCTGCATCTTCAGTCTGTGGCACACAAAATTCTTTAGCAGCATCCAAAAAATTTCTAAAATTATCTGAACTAGAATATGCGTACTGCCATCACCTCATAAATTCACAAAAATAAGAGTAAAAAATATCCTCCATATGCCTGACTGTTGGTGGCATATCTTGCATGAACCTTTCTTTTGACAAACCCATTCAAAGCCATAAGATCACAATTTCTTTCGCTGCCAGATGAATTTCACAACAGCATATTTTGAAATCAAGTTCAAGATAAAATATATCCCAATTTTTCTTTGAGAACTTTTAATACAATATAAAGAGCATACACAAAAGTAGCGACATTGCTTGCTAAAACTGAAGAACTATTATACGCACTATTTCCTGTAGAACTGTTATGTGCATTATGATTGGCACAATCTGAAAATTTACTTTTACTAAGGTAGTTGCTCTATTACGTAAATACCAAGAACACACAAAAATGGCAACATACCTAAATTGAAGACTTGTTATGTGTATGGTTGCCAGAGTGTGGTACATTGTTGGCAAAGTTAGCAACTTCTTTTAAGGTAGTTGCATTAAGAAGCAAGACCCAAACTTCGTTAAAACATCTTATCTAACATTCTCAGTAGATCATAACATTAAGTCTTTCACCCACGGTTTATTATAATTAATTCATACTGAAATCTCCAAAGTATAAAATAAAATTATTTACGAATATCGACCCCCTATAGTAAAAATTCCCTAATAAACAAATGCCTTAGTCTGTTGAATGTTTCCTAATGGCAAGATTGACTGTATGTAAATATATATATGTATATATGTGGTATAAAATATGTAAATCAAAATTATAATTTAAACTAGCAGTAATCCCATAATTTCTCCTCTCTATTCTAAAAAAAAGTAAGAACTTTTCTGGACTGCATCACTTCTAGATCAGTCCATCTTGCATGGCTTGTATAATGCTGATGATGTGGCATATTTGGAACCTGAATTTAAAATTTTGAGGACTAATTTCTAATCTAAACCAAAACCTTCTCTTGGTGAGCTTTCATACTGGATAACTGCACAATTTTAGCTTAAGCTCTCTTGCACTCAAGATGCTACTTCACTCCTTTTGCTTTATTGTGCTGCTAACTACGCCATTATCTAATAAATGTAACTATATAAAATTGTGGGGTGCATATTACTCCCATGATCATATGTGATGAAGAATATGCTTCGATAATTAGCTTGTATGCAGCAATAAAAATTATGTTCAATTCAGCCACATATGTCTACAAGTGTCTCCTCCAGGTGTCATCTTTCTGACTATACAATAAAGTTTTTGAAAGTTATAATGCAGAGAACCATTGTAAATTCATTGCAGCTTAATCTCTAAGTCATCTTATTATAATATTTATCTGTATTACACACATATGCAAGTCCTAAATGTTAATCATTTTTTTCCCACAATGCAAGAAAAGCACAGCAATAACATTTAATTTATATCCTTACTCTTAAAAGCAAACATGATAAGAATCGATCTGAATTTCATGAAATGAAAGCACAGGTGTTATGAGTGTGTTGTTATGTCACACATATCCATAATTGGTGCTAAATGTCACTGCTTAATGACAGTTTCACGGTCATTGGGATAGTATGCACCTTTTTTTAAAATTTAAAATGATTTAGTTTTAAGTATCTTTTAAACAAAACAGATAATTATGAGTATATGAAGAAAGGAAGGTTTAATTTATCATGAAAATATTATATGTGCATTTTGTAATTCAAAATGGGCAGTTAATCAATTTATAGAATTTAGATATCCTGCTTAATTGTGCAGTAATTCAGTGATTAAGAAGCATTTTATAGTGCTTTACTTATTTTATCTTTTTTTATTATAGGTTTACGAGCACAGTAATCATGCATGTGCTATTCTCACTCAGAATTCTCTAAAACGCTCAAATATTAGCCCTATTTTACAAGCAAAACGAATACGCCGACCCCAACCCAGTGGTCACAACATACCTCCTCCGTAAGTCAATTTTTTTGTTTTCTGAATTTGAATTTTGTTTCTTTTTTTAAATAAAAATTTTTTTGATGTTTTCTTTGAGTTCCTAATGACGTTTTTGTTGTGCTCCTTATCCAATGTCCCCTAAGCATGTGTATATTTTAGTTAATCCCGCTCGGCTTGGTAGCAGCAATGTATAAAAATTTTTAGTCTAAAGTTGCTGACATAAACGTTAAACAGCATCCTGCAGAATTTACTGCTGATGTTCTGTAATTGCAACAAGTTCTTGTTCATTGCAAGATGGCTGTAACTGACATTCTACTATGTCTTTTATGTACTCAGATCGGCAGGTCTGGAAATCTGTCATACTGTTCCTTGGTTTGGTGGTAATAGTTATGATATGAAATATACACAAAATTAAGGCCTAAAACTATTATTTCTTTAGATTTTGTTCTTGGCAAATGAATGGGCTAGCTTATAGGATTTCATGAAGTTTTCATATTGTGTAATGCAAATATGAATGTTCCATTAGAAAATCTTTAGTAAAACTTCTTTCAAATGGAAATCAACATGTGTGCTTTGTTGTAGTTAAAATCCTAACATTTGATATGATAGCCACATCAAAGATACCACATGACTTCCTTGTATGGCCTATCAAATTATGCACATTTTTTGTTTCATTTCATTTAAACCTATTTCCTCGAATTTCATTAGACATATATTTCTGATTCATTCAATTCAGCGGCATTTCACTTTGTGGCAAGGAAAAAATATGTTAACACTTAAAACAGCTTCATTAAAAATTACAAAATGCAGAAAAAGCTAACACACCAACTAGAATAAAAACCATTTAAAAATAATTTTTACAATTAAAATTGGAGTTTAAATTAATTAAAATTAAACAGAAAGACAGATTTTTCAATGCACAAAACTTTTGGCCCCACTTGGCAAAAAGACACTAAAGTTAGTACAGAAACTGAATTAACTATGTCACTAAATTTCAAATGTAGACAAATGGAGGCATCATTAGGCTTAGTGGAACTTAAACAACTTTTAAATTATTGATAATTCTACTATTGCATGCAGATTAACTAAAGGCATAAAAACTTTAACTGGAACATAAGAACAATATTATTCAGTCAATGAATAACATGAAATTATTAATAATTAAAGCAAAAAATGCACGTAAGATTAAAAAAATTTAGCTCACCGAGCCGAGTAACAAAGTGGAAGTTTATATAAATTTATATACTTTTTTTTGCGGCCGATTGTAACCAAAGGGAGGTGTACACTACAAGTTATAGCAGTTTCATATACAAAATTTCAATGTTCTGTGGCTGTGTGAGATATGTACATACAGACATCAAAAAGAATCTCTTCTGAATCCACTTTAAATCCATTTTGGGAAAAGGAGTCTTTTATTCTGTCTGTATGTACATATGTAACACAAAAACATCATTCAAATGGAATTGAGAGTGGTCAAAATGGATATTTTCATTGAAATAAGTTAACCAAAATTTTTCGCAATTACAATACAGTCAAAAGTCGTTAATCCGGACTCGTCGGGACTTTGGTGATTCCGGATTATAGATCATCAGTTTAAATCTGGTAAGATGGTGTGCAGAAATTATAAAATTAAAAATATGAAACCGTAATTTATGAAATAAAGAACAATTATGATCTAAAGGGTATCAAAATTTACAAAAAGAAAAAAGCTTAATATTTATTTGTTTACTTTATTAAACATTTCTTTCAATGTAAGTTGTTTAAGTTGCTTCGTTTTGTGTGATAATACTTTCTCTTTAATTCTATAAGCAGACATAATTTCTTGTTCAGTTACAAAGTTCTGATGTTCAAGTCCTATAATTGCTGTGTTGAGAATACCGACTAATTTGTCAATCGAAATTTTTTCGTTTTCAATAACCTCTGTGTCACTTTCTTCACTATCGGAAGCGAATTATATTGATGAGGAATTTGATTTAAATCATATCAAAGACGGAGTACATCAAGATGAAATACTACATTTAGTAAGGAATTATAAGCCAAATAAAATAAAAACATCTGCCCTGAAGATAAGGATAGTGCTGACAGATCAACTTCCAACGCATTGCGTGCCGCGCCGTCCCCCCCCCCAGAGCAGCGTGAAATTGATAAACAGATTTCGGAATGGTTAGAGAAACGAAGGATATGCCTTTATCCATTTTTTTCCAGTAATTCCACTTTTTGTTTAATGGACTTCGAAACATATTTTCGCTTTGTAGATCCTTTACATATTAGTAAATATATATCGGAAATTCTATTTGACATAATCGAAAGTTTAAGCTTACTTTTATAAAATTGCTCTAATCTAGTCTGCAAAAAATAATAAGCCGGATCCAATTCGAAGATTCGGGAACAACGCAATCTCCAACATTAACTGAATTAGATAATTTTAGCTTAGCTTATACCATCCGTTATACATTAAACACGCATATTCGCAGCCGTAAAGGTCTTGTGCGTCGATGCAACGCATGCGCAGAAAGTTTGTAGCTTTGAGGTCCGGATTATAGATCATTCTGGATTATGGGTGTCTGAATTAATGACTTTTGGCTGTACATCCTTTACTTCGTACAAGGAAGTAAAAATGATAATGAAAACATTTCACTTTGTCATGATTTGCTTTAATTTTCAGTTTTTGGTGTGTTATGATTTGCTATTTTATATATTTATTTTTTAAAAATTGTCATTATCATTATTTCAATTTGTAATGAGTAAAGTATTTGTTTAATTGTATAAAACTGCTTTTCTAAATTTTAATTTATATCATAAAATTATTTAATTATTTCTGCTGTATTTTATAACCAACTTTTTTCACATTTTTTTTTTCTTTTTTTATGTGTGTGTGGTCTGTAATGATTTTTTAATTCCTTGTAATTTGTTGTAGGAATGTTGATGCTGTCACCTCACAGTTGAGTCGACTTTTTTCTGATATGCAAATCCAAGTTCTCAGACCCTGCGGATCATCTACGGTCTTGTTAGTAAGTAAACATTCAAAAATTTACATCTGATATTTAAATTGTTGTTATTGGTAGATATTATTCAGTTGTAGGTTTCAAAATCTCATCAAAAAAGTTCTCTCTCTCTCTCTTTTTTTTTTTTTTTTTTTTTTTTTTTTTTTTTGTGTGTGTGTGTGTGTGTGTGTAATTTTTTTGATTCTAGGTGCCACCATTTTCCAACAGTGCAAAGAACATACATAGATCTAGATTCCTCATTATTTGATAATAAGGACAATTCTTTTTTTCCTACTTGACTAGATTCGTTTGAACTCCAGACTGCCTTCCAATAGGTTTCATGTCATTCATCTCAACTTATTTTAGCATTTATGAATTAAATTTTGAAATACAGTACAAAGTCCGTAATCCGGATGTCCATTATCCGGAATGATCTATAATCCGGACCTCAAAACCACAAACCTGTGCATGCGCGTTTGATGTGCGCGTCCACTAAGCATGCGCATAAAGCCAGTGAAGTGTTTACCCATGCACACTTCCGATAGGGAAGAAAGTAACGGAGAACGTTATTGAAATGAAAAAATTTCGATGGACAAGTTAGTCTGTATTCTCGACACAGCAATTACAGAATTTAAACAGTGGAACTTTGTAACTGAACAAGAAATTATGTCTGTTTATAGAATTAAAGAGAAAGTATTAGCACAAAAAAAAACGAAGCAACTTAAACAACTTACATTGATAGAATGTTTACTAAAGTAAACAAATAAATATTAAACTCTTTTTTTTTTTTTTTTTTTTTTTTTTTTGTAAATTTTGATACTCTCTAGATCATAATTGCTCTTTATTTCAGAAATTATGGTTTCATATTTTTAATTGTATAATTTCTGTATGCTATCTTACCAGATTTAAATTGATGTTCTATAATCCGGAACCGCCGAAGTCCAGATTACGGACTTTGTACTGTATAACTGTAACCATCTCTCCATGTTTATGTCCCAAAAATATAAAAAATTAATCTAAAGTATTGACATCTTCAAAGAAATTATGCAAACTGATTTCACTTTACTGCAGAATTACCTCGAGTTCTGAACTCTAAAAACGAAAAAAGGAGATTAAAATTATTGCTGAAGACCTGAAGAGAGCATGGAGAAAAGAAAAGTTGAATTGGTTAGGTTGTCTGCCTAACCTTTTAAAATCCCTCCCAAAGTACTCTTTAGGTATATAGTCTAAGCCAGTTTAATTACTTTGCAGTTTCAGAAAGAAAAAGAGATCACCCATCCTTTTCAATCTTTATTGAATAAAAAAGAGTAGATGAATGGTTAGGATTTTGAAGGGTTAATGAGAAATTCTAAGAAGTAATCACTTTTGTGAAAAGTGTTTTCTCATTTCTAGGAGAAATTAAAATTAGGCAAAAATGCAACCTTAGTTTGACATAGATTTTGAATGAAACATCGTTACAGGATCTTCTTCAGAAGCAAATCTTTTTTGCTGTTTAACTAAGCTTTACTTATTTGCCTAATTAAAATTTTTGTGTTAGAATGTTTCTTTTTCAATTTGACTCTGGGTGAAAATTGAAATGTATGAGAGGAAAAGTTAAATTAAGAGGGGAAAAAAATTTTGAGAAATTATGTAAGTTTGATACATCCTAATATGATTTTGCAATATGTATTGTCCTGAACTTGGATTAGTAGTATTCAGGTTACTAATCCTAGGTAATATTTAGAATAGTTAATAAATATACTGATAAACCTGTATGCTCTTATTAACCACTTAACTGTTTTTCCTGAACACTGTTCGGGTGCTGCAAAAAGGGGCTTTTTTATTTGTCTGTACAGAGCTCGGGCAGTGTATTTTCCTACACCAATCCACTGATTTTCCAGGCCTTTTTCACATTTTTTACTTTGCACTGTTTCTAATAAATATCTTTTATGGTCTAAGGGAGATTGGATTGTAAAACCAGTTCAAAAGACAGTTTTTACTGCTTTTCATTATGTGGAGAAATTCAATGAGTTTATTTCCACATGTTTAGTGTATTAGGTTTTGCGAACAGTGTTTCTTCCCGATTTTGTCATGAAATAAAAGAATGATGGGTAAATATCTCGTAATGGAATGTAATTCTGATATTCGATCAGATAGGGAATCTGGATTTTCTATAAATGATTCTGGTTGTCCTGCAAAAGTTCTTTATCAGAATTCCCTAGTGATAATGATGAAACGGAAAGCTCAGATGATCTAATTCAGGTTCGGAACTTTTATAAAATGGATACTAGTAATCCTCTGCCCACAACGTCGCAATTTTCTTTCACATAGAATTTACTTCTTTCACATTTATCTCCTGTAATTTTATTTCCAGTCCTGCAGTTTCATCGTAAAAAAGCCAACTTTAAGTAAAAATGCCTTAATTTTCACTTATATTTTCGTCCAAAAATCAAGAGAAGAAAATTGTGCAAATAATTTTATTTATGAAAGACATAGTTACAGTAAGAACATAATAAATGAAAAATACTTACGGATAAATTACAAGCAACTATCACAATATTATGTGTTTAAAAGAAATCTATATATCTATAAAAATACATACTAATAAATACAACATTACATTATCTAATATCATCATTTCTACTTCCCTGTAACTTGAATCTCATGTGTTCTTTTTGTTGTTATTGCTACTCCTTAGGCCTCAGATCATACATAAATAATTAAAGAATGTGAATGTGTAGCCAATTTGGCCAAATCAGTAGACTGAATGTCAATCTGTGTTTGCTTTGCTCTGATGGGTTGTTCTTGTAGGCTAGCATAAAGTTCAGTAGTTAGAAGGGAAAGGTTCAATGTTACCTTCATAGGTAATTTGCAAGGGTTGTCTGCAATCTCATTGTAGTCATTTATGAAGTTTTATTTTTATTGCTTAATTTTCTGTTGATATGCAATTATCTGAGTGTATTTCATGTGTAATTTAGATATGGATATTTAATTTATTTAATGTTTTTTTTTTTAATGTTAGACAGAAATAATCATTTTGTTGATGAATCTGTTTTAAAATTTAAGGGAGGATGCATTGAAGGAAAGGGAAAATTATGAGACTGTTTTTAGCATTTTCAGTGCTTGGTGCTTAAAAGCAAAGAAGGGGAAAATACTCGCTAAAAATATGGTAATTCAAAATACGTTCCAAGTAAAGAAATTTACCATCACACCTTCTATGTGTATGTTATATATGCTTATTTGATAAGCAGAGTTAGTTGTGCAGTTTTCATATTGTATTAGGCAATTGAAGCATTGCCTGGAAATGGTATGCTCAGAAGGATAGCACAGATTTAAGATTAAAATGGGTACTATGTAAATGAAGCATTTTACTTTTTATGTTAATTTCAACTTGAGAAAAGTATCATACTTATCAGACATTTGATGAAAAACAATTATGTCCTCATCTATGTTCGTGCTTGTACAATTATGGAGCATGTTTAAAGTAATAGCATCTCAAAATTTTATTCAGTAATCAAAGTTGTAATGACTTCATGTGCGTCATAGAGAAATGATCCACCCTTCTTCGTATTTTTAAAATTTCGTAAATGTTTGTTGCACACAAAAACTAAACACTAGATCAATAAAACTACACTACTAATAATTGAAATATGTACATTAAATTAATGTAAGTTAATTTTGTTTAACTAATGGCTCCCATGAGCCTTCACTTTCTATGACCTCTATGTCAGTCCCCCTTCCTGGAAACTAAACTTTTAGCACATCTTAGATTGAGAGGTAATGCCCTCTATGTATCTCGTTAGTTGGTATCACCCATACATCACAAAGGTCATTTAAATAAATTTAAAAATAAAGCATTCCTTCTCCTTAAAAAGAGAATTATTATCCAGGATTTAACGTTTTAAGTGAGTTATTAAACTTAATATTAGGAAAGGCTAAAACAAAAAATCATGCATAAATTAAAAGAATCCAACTATTTCTGCATTATATTAGATTATGATTGCCCAGATTAATTATCTATAATTGTTGTATTTATCTTAAACATTTTGAAGCGATGAACATTTCTTGAATTTTGCTAAAATTTGTAATAAATTAGCTCTAAACCGAACTGAAAGAAATACAAAACTGAATCATTTTGACACATTTTTAAATGGTCTATGAAGCTAATATTTATATTATAAAATTTATGTTAATATTTTTGGAATGAAATAATAAAGTACAAAACATTTATTGAATAAAAATCACATGTATTTTATATGATTTCATCATCTACTTCATATTAAATGTTAATTCTGATATTGTGAAATTTTCAGAAAGTGATCTGAATATTATGCATTTGAAATTTACCATTTCGATCTTGAAAAGAGTGTTTTTCAAAAAGGGCCTTCTTTTGAATGCCTTCATTTTTTTAATTTTTTTTTTTAATGAAATCAGTTTTAGAGTGTTTGGCTATTATTAAAATAATGTTTGTCTGATTTTCAGATTTCTTTAGCACGAACATTGAAAGCACTTGTGATTCTTAGAGGTCTGATTATAGAGTGGGTTGTTGTAAAGGGTTACAATGAAGACTTTTATACTGAAAATGACAAAGTAAGTTTAAAATAAAAAATTTTAATTACTTTCTATTTTTCTTTTTACTCCATGTAATTGTAGATTTTCATGATAGGTATGTTTCCATGGCTGCCAACTTATCCAATTTGCATTATTTGTGACTTTTCACATTCATACAAGGATTGTTGAAAAAAATGGACCAAACCTTTAATGTTCTTGCTTTATTGCTATTTATAAAAATTTTCAACCACTATCCCTTTCAAAGTTGTAGTGTCAATACACTGTTGCAGTTGTTTCTTCCACTTTTGGAATGCCTGCTGGAAATCACTTTTTTCATTAATGTCTAGTAGTGTCATCGCAGTTTCCTGAATTTCCTGTATAAAGTGGAAATGACACTTTTTCAAAGTGGTTTTAAGTTGGAAAAGAGAAAAAAGTCTTCCTTGGGCTAAGTCCAGAGAATAGGATGGGTGGGGCACAACAGAATTATGATGGTTTGTTAAATAATTGGTAACATTGAGCAGTGTATGAGCTGGAACATTATCATGTTGCAGCTTTCATAACCAATTTTCTCCTCAGTTCTCTTCCTATGCGCATCATCTCTCAGTTGTGTTAAAATTCTCAGGTAGCTTCCTCGTTTACTGTCTGATCACATGGTACAAATTCATAGTGTACTCTAAATGTGTTGTTAGTCTATTGATGTGGAAGACTGTCCACTCCTTAGATCTTCAGCCACCGAACTTCTGCCCTTTTTCATAGTACTTAATTTGGCTGATGCAGTTATCTTTGAATACTTGGTTAAGCATTTGAAATGTATCTGTTAGAAGTTTTCCCCAGTTTAACACCAAATTTCACATAGATGCATTGTTCCTTCAGCTCTTCCTCTCACCCTTTTTTCCCTTTATTCTTCTGCTCTTTTTTTTTTTTTTTTTTTTTTTTTTTTTTTTTTTTTTGTTGTTGTTGTAGTTGTAGTCTAGTCAGCTGCTTATGGATGATCTCACAGAATTGATAGTTACTGGACAAATAATGCATAGATCTGCTCTGCACCCAATAGAAAGCCATGTGTTAGCAAGATATGCTGCTAGGTATACACAGTGGCCAAAGCACATTGTGTTCAGCTGTTGGCATGTAGTTTAAAAAGTTTGGTCTTTTTTTTTAACAGTTCTCATATAATGTTGACTTTGCCGATGAAACATTCGTGAACCATTCTGTGAAGATAGCAATGATCACTCAAGCCTTGTGTACCATTCGATAAACAAGAAGTTTATTTATATCTACAGCTTTCACTGAATGTGGGTTTAGGGCTCAATTTACCAACAGTGGTTTTAACGTACGATCTTCTGAAGTGCTGAAGCAAAATAACAAGGTCACATGATATTTAGCTACCTAAAACCATCAAAATTTTTTCTGCAAGTTTGTTCTGTACCTATTGTTTGGCATTAATTTCCAAAATAGACCATTTTTGTCTGCATTTTGTCTCAATCAGAAGTGCACCTTCCATCTTCAGTAATTTTATAAAGTTTCTGCAGGAATACTTTAGCAGTCAATTCATCTGCAGAAGCAGTTTCACCTTTAATTTTTATATTATAAAAAGCATACCTTTTAAGAAACCCTGTAATCCAACCTATGTTTGTAGAAAGTTCATATTTTCAGTTTAAATGAGATGAGGTGTTTGGCTTTTCTTTAATCTATCCATAAATTTTTAGTATTGTTTACTTGATATTTTTATCTATTTATATTCTTTTTTGCGACTTACCTTCTACCCTTTTTACCAGAACGTATTACATTTTTTTTTTTTCTTGACAGTATTCCTTGTGTATGATGATTATTTAACTTTTATTTTTGTCCCAGAACATGCCAAATTCCTAATTGTAGCTTCATTTTTCTTAATAGTTCTTATGGTAGCTTCGCATACACCAAAATGCTTTCATACAGACATAGCAGCTTTTTTTGAAAGATGATTTAAAATTTGAATTTTTAAGTTCCGAAGAAGTTGCGTTCCTTTTCATTTTGTTTACAGAGGAAGTGTGTGACATATAAGAGCTAGCAAAAAATATCTCAATTATTATTAATACAAAAAATATTAAATTTTGGTAAACTTAACAGTTTATTGAATTTCAGTAAAATTGATAAATTTGTCTTTGCACGAATTTCACTAAAGATTCTTTCACTATGAAAAGAATAGAGCTACATACTAAATGCCTTCTGAAGATGCAAAGGCATAAGTTTGTGTATGAATGAATAGTGCGATCTCCAGTGTATCGGAACTGCATATGCAGCAGATGTACATAAGGAGCTGTTTTGTAGCTGTTGTTAAAAATTTCTGTTGTATTGCAATTTAGGATACCATTCAATGACTGAAGAAATGCCTCGCCACAGGATTCGAGCTCATTACGAGCAACTGTTAGAGTTTGAAAGAGGTCGTATCATTGGATTGAAAGAGGCAGGTTGGGCAAATTGGGGAATTGCTCGTGATATGAGTTGAAGCAATGCGCTGATTAGAAGATGCTGGCAAAAATGGGTGGTCAATGGGATTTCAGCATCATGATGGTAGCAGTCGACCTAGGGCCTCGATAGATCGGTAGGACAGAGTGATTGTCAGATGAGCTGTCACAGCACCTGATTCATCACTATCAATTATCAGACGTGCGACCCGCACACGTGTGTCCACCATGACTATTCACAGACGGCTGATAGAGTAAAATATACTGTCGTACCGACCATTACGTCACCTGTCAATCACTTCTGCACACTGTCAACCCAGATTACAGTGACGCTTGGCCTTGATGAGGTTGGAATGATGTTGACTGGAGAGGTATAGTCATTAGTGATGAATCCCGCTTTCAACTGTGTCGTGATGATCATCGAAGATGTATCTGGAGATGCACAGGGCAGCTTGCCAATGATTCTTTCACAATTGCATGCCACACAGACCCTCAAGCAGGAGTTGTGGTCTGGGGTGCCATTTCTCTTGATAGCCGCATCCCTTCGGTCATCATTAGAGGCACACTTATAGCACAGCGGTACGTCAACAATATTCTGAGACCTGTTTTGCTACCATTCCTTTTGCAGTACCCTGGCCTTATTTTTCAGCAAGATAATGCCAGACCACATACGGCAAATGTTGCTATAAACTGTCTTATAGCTTGTCAAACACTTCCTTGGCAGCCAGATTGAAAGATCTCTCTCCCATCGAGCATATTTGGGATGTGATGGAAAGGTGACTGCATCTACCAGGGAGTGTTGATGACCTAGCCCGACAATTGGAGTAAATTTGGCAAGAAGTACCGCAGGAGACCATTCGGGAGCTTTATCAGTCTTTGCCATTTGTAGCCACGCTATAGGTGGGCTAATACCTTATTTAGCTCGTAACTATGAAACTCTGAAATGAATCATTCAATTGTTCTGAAATTTTAATCATTATCTATTCTGTACATAATCTTCTTATTCACCAATTTTTGTCTCCATCGGACACTCCTTGGTGTGTCGATTTTTTTTGTTATAGAGTGTACATTTATATAGTCACATGACTAAAGACCTTGGAGAGGCACTTCATTCTCCTTGACTATAGTATGTTACTTTGAAGTAAAAACTTCGAGATTACTTTTTGTCCAATTTGACTTGTAACCATGGGAAAGCCTTGGAAAAAATGACGAGTCACTTACTTTTTTCCATTCACTTCATTTCCATTTAGCGTGCTTCACATCATGAAAAGCTCACAAATGAAAGCCAACTTAAACTGGCTTCAAGTGATGTAGAGAAAATAATTGCTGTGTGTTGATGATGATATGAGTTAGGATCATAAAGCAGCCATTTTAAAGCAACAGACTTTAGCTATTATACAAACTATTTGTGTGTGTACTATAGCACTACTATACTACAAATAAAAATTGTTTTTCTTTGATGGCCTGCTTATGTTAAATTAAAATGATGCATATAAGAAGAACATAAAATATTTATTTTGAATTTGGTTTAAACCAGGGATTCCCAAAGTGTGCCCTGTGAGGTAAGGCTATGGATGCAGTTGCGTTGAACTCTTGGGCAGTATTTTTCATTAATTATTCTTTCATTAATATTTTTCATTAATTTTTATTCTATTTCATAAAATAATAGTTCCTAAATTTATTCTCAATATTTATATTTCAGTTGTTTATATAATTATATTTATTTTTTTATTTTATTTATTTATTTTTGACATTTTTATATCTCCTTTTAATCTAAAGTAATTCTTGCTCTGGATTTTGCTTTTTAAAGCACCATTTTATTTTATCATTTAGTTCTTTCAGTTTATAATAACTTTTATATTTTACGTCAAATATGTACTTGATTATTCTTGTACATTTTTTGCACCTGTTACTTCCTGTCACAAGATCGCTATATTTGGCATCTATATATGTACTAATGGTGCTCGATCAATATCCGGTTGCTATGAAGGATTGTGGGCACTTATTTGCAGAAAAACATTGCATACTGTGGGGATCCATTGGATTATCTACAGGGAAGCAATCCTGTTGCAGTATCTGCTTGGAAGCACCTGGTTCAAAGTCGCTTAGTCTTCAGTTGAATTTGACATTAGAACATACCATACCCATAGTAAACTTACTTAAAATTTAGACTTCTGAAAACAAGATTTTTCAAAAAGCTATATTGACGGCTTAGAAACTGAACACACGCCGCTACTATACTATTGCAGTTCATAATGGCTTTCATGTGGTAATGTCCTGTCTTTTTGAGTTTGAGCTGCATCAAGAAATTCATATTTTTCTGCAAGAGGACGTTCATGCAATCTCCATATATTTTGCCAAATCGGACTTTTTGCTGAAACTAGCACATTAGTGCAAGCTATATGACAAATCAAATGTCTTGAATCTGTCTGTGCAGGGCAGTATATGAAACTTGTAGAAAAAATTTTAATGATTAATAAAACACTGCAGTTATGGATAAGAAAACTGAATGGTGATGCTCAAGATTGTTTTTGTACATTGTACCAATACACAGCTTCTAATAAAATTGTTTTCTACAAAAATTGCTGTCCCTTTTCATGGAACACCTTTCAAAGCTTACTGATTTGTTTGTAAAATAATTTGCGGAAGATAATGTGGAGAAATTTATGTTGATCCGAGATCATTTTCATTCTCAAGTTTCCCCGGATTTTATTTCGCAGGATATGAGGCATATCTTAGAAAATAGGAAACACTGTACAAAAAACACTGTACTGTCTTCTGTTGCCTAGCATTGTTGGTGTGACAATCACACTTTCAATTTTTCTTCAGCTAAAATTATTCAAAAAACATCTCACATTGGTAAATTAGATTTTTCAGAAGCATTTCACATTAAAAAAAATCTTTCTGTTCTAGTTTAATGGCCTTAATTCCAATCCATCGTTGCCTTCGGCCTTTAAGGAAATTATGTTTGTAGTTCTCGTTTTATCAACAGATGGCGCCAGTAGCTTAACTCCAGTCCAGCCATTCTTATCTGATCTAATCACCATATCTTTTCTCATTCTTTTGCACTTTGGCAGCTGAGGCTGATAGTTCGGTAAAATCATTGAAACTAGTCCTGTGAAAATTTAAAAATATAGCCCTGATTTTTGTTGTTTGACTTCTAAATTAATTCCCTTCCTGTCTCTCTCTAACAAGATAACTTGAAGTAATTGGACGTGTACTGATAAAGAACTCTGCATATAAAATTCCTAGAATGATTATTTTTCTCACTATTGCACATTGTAAAAATTTACTATATATCGCTGTTCAAAATCTTTTTATCAACGAGTTAATGAAATGTTTTGATGTCGGTTCATGTTAACATAAATTTTATTGATTCCAGTAATGTAAAATATAAATCTGTGTAAACAAACCAGAATTACTAGAACTAAAATATAATTTTATAGCCCTTGTAATAAAAAACTATATTGCAGTGCAATTAAATTATATTGTATGTTTGCTTAATTTAGTGGAAAGGTTTTTGATACTGCTAGAACAAAAACGAATAAGTAAAACATGCTAAGCCATATCCAGTATGCTGTTTTTTCATCTATTTATGACCTGCAGATTTATTGAAGAATTTTTTAAAAATTTAGTACTGATTTTGTAATTGCTTTATGGTATTTGGATGATGTAATTTATTGGATTTCAAACTGATTATTTTTTATTATTATATTTATATAGCTTGACATGTGGTCAGGATCTCGGTATAAAGTCTTCCAAAAGGTATGTAATGCTTTTGTTAAAAACAAAATTGTTGCTTTCTTCATGATTTTAATCTATTTTATGGGGCTAAATGGGTCTTAATTAATTAAATAGTATTTAAGCATTACCTCAGGTAGTTAGTAGTATTTTAGATATGGTTATTGTTTATAAGAATTTTTTTTATTTTATTAAGTAAAAAATGGTAAAAGTACATGTTTTATTTTATTTTTTAGGTAACAGATCATGCAAATGCTGCAATGCTACATTTTTATTCGCCTCATCTTCCAGATCTTGCAGTGAGGTCTTTTATGGTAAGAAATACTATAAAAAATAATTAAATAAACAAGTGAAAATATTATTGTAGATTGTTTTTAATTATTGTTATTTTTACAATTTTTCTCTACTACCGTATTATAGAATTTATTTAAGATTTCAAAATAATAATATTGTTACAAAATGTACAGGCTCGATAAGATGGCTTCCCCACAAAGCAGTTTTAGGGTTGCCGCATTTGGCGAGAAATCGCCCCTTTTGCTACAAAATTGCAATATACCGTGGATGAATGGAGAACCTTCTGGAACGAATTCTTACCGGTTTAGTCCAGAATGTTCTCGAACACAAGCCGAAAGCCATAGATATCCTGCTGGTCTGCAGTCAGTTATTGTGTGTGCCTGGCCTAGCGAGCTGATAGAGAGAGCCTCGTCTAGAGTGTGAGTTTGTTAGTATCGGGAGAGTGCCTCGTCGAGAGGGCGAGTCAGTGTGTGCCTCACATAGAGCGCGAGATAGTGTCTCGAGTTAGTCAGTCCGTGCGGAGTCGATCGAGTTGACAGCCGGGCAGCGAGTGCCGATGCAGTATAATCAATAATTGATTTATTGATTATAGTCAGAAATTTTAATGTGATCTGCATAAATAAAGCAAAACCAAATTCTGACTGTAATTCAAAGTAAAAAAACTTTAATTTCAGACACAATCTAAAAATTTTAAATTTTATTATGTGGTTTTCATTATTTTATATGTTATTTAATGTATTAATATGCAAATACTGCAACTTTCAAATATGTTAATTCTAACTTCCATTCATTAAATGCAATTTTTGGGGAGAGGGGTATTCAGCAGCATTTCCCTAATGAAAATTCATGATATGCAGCAGCAAAGTTCCCTGTAATATAAATTTGATGGATTATGAAGGAGACAGCTGTTTGAATTCAGGTATTCAGGCTTTGGATTCTGTAAATGTTTATTGCCCAGAATTTTGTAAAAATGGTTTACTTATATCATACCTCATCATCTTACCAGGTAATTTTTAATTCCATATCTAAATTGTTGCCAAGTGAAAACACCTCACTGCAATTGAGTAACTAAAACATGATGTGCTAGTTTTTTAGATGCTATCTTTTTACATTTCACAATACTCTCCTGCCATGCATCTAGATTTTCTTGCAATAAGTCGCAGTTAAGCATCTGATAGTAGGTTAACATCCTTAAAAGAATCATATTATTTAGCAAGTTTTTTTCAGCAGTTTTGGGTCAGATACTGTGAATATTTAATGAATTAAATTAAAATGTACATTTTAATAATGCATGTAATTTAATATATTTTGTGTTATATATTATTGAATTGTGCATTTCTATTTATTATTTTTATATTACTGTATTATTAATTTTATTATTTATATTTTCAGACCTGGCTTCGAAGTTACAACACATTGTTCACTTCTCCTTGTCGCAGGTGTGGTAATCGCCTTCATAACAATATGCCCCCTACCTGGAGAGATGTTCGCAATCTTGATGTATATCATGAAGCATGCAGACCATAATGAAATATTTTTTGTACAATTCTCAGCACCTTTAAAGTGTTGATGAATTATACTAGCTGAATCTTTGTACATATATGTTTATAATAGCAATAAATTTCATATTATCTCATTGTAATTTAAAAGTACATTTTATTTCAACTTTTCGAAGAACTGAAGTTATCTGTAAACATCCAAAACGTGATTAATATTATTAGATTTGGAGGTCTACATTCTTAAATTCTTGGTTATAAGTGAAAACATTGTGAACAAAAATGTCATAGAGAAAATAACATGTAAAGAAACAACATGTGCAAATCAATGCAAGATAACATTGCAGACATGACATGATGAGACATACATTTTCTGAACATCAAAATCGTATGTGAATTTTGGCATAATGATATGCGAGCACAAGAAGAAATAAGTAATATTTTACCTCTATATTTCATATTTTTTTACTAATAAATAACTTTAGTAACTAATGAAAAGCAAGAAACTTAAGCCTTCAAAATCTGAAAATTAGTAAACATTAATACTAAGTATAACCAGTTGATAAATTAGTTAATATTATAAAATTATGAGGGTTCACTTTTAGCTATTAGAAACTATTTATTTACAATCTTAGAATGTATAATCACAGAGAACTGCAATACCAGCGTAGTTCTATTTTCCAATCTGTATCCAAAGTGTTGCCAATTACAAGTTACTAAATATTAAATGTTACCATTTACAAATTATTAAATATTACATCTTTCGTTTTTTTAAAGAGTTCAAAAGTTTTAACTGTCTAAAATCAGTCCAAATACCTGGCCGGCTTTCTAATCAGTCTCCCACTTCTAGTTCTTAGCTCACCGTTCCTTGTTTCTGAGTTAGTAGAGTTTGGTAGTTGATCTTCTAAACTTTGCCCTTGATAAATATCTGGAATCATATCATTTTACATCTGTTTTCTGTGTATAAACTCCTGTTCTGTTCCTCTGATATTCTCATCAACAGCTGCTGAACTGTTTCCTCTCTATATCTTTTCTATTTCTTCTCAATACTGATCCACCTGATCTAAGTATATATGATCTAGGCGTCTTATGCACTTCTTCTACAACTGCTGGTTTCCAGCGATTATCTTGATATACCCGAACACAATCTCCTTTATTTAGCAATGGTAATGTTTTTGTATGACGATCATAATATGACTTCTGTTTAGTTCTTTCTTGGTTGATTTTTTCTTTTACATTTCTCACAACTTGAGGTTTAAGTAATTCTTCAGATGTAGGAAGAATCGTTCTTGTTCTTCTACTCATAAGTCGTTGAGCTGGTGATCCTAGCATCTCATTAGTTGGAATGTTCCTATGAGCTAACAATGCTAAATAAGGATCAGCATGATCTGCTTGGGCTTTCTTTAACAATTCTTCGCCGTTTGTACTGAACGCTCTGCTAATCCGTTCGACTGTGGATGGTATGGACTGCTTGTTGTTAAATGTTGTTTTCTTTTTTCTTTCAAAATTCTTACTTGCAAAACTGAGGGTCCATTATCAGATATCACTATCAATGGGTATACCTATCTTATCTTGCAAAATGAGATTTCATGTAACTGATCACTGTCTGACTTCGAGTATCCGGTAGTTTGGAGAGATTTCAAAAAAAAAGTTGGAATAGTAATCTACAATTAATAAATATACATCTTTGTTAATCTCAAATAAATCTGTCGCAACTTTTTATACCAAGGTAAATGGGAATTTCATGTGGTATCATAGGCTCTCTTATGTTTTTGTTTTGGTATTCATTACATATAGAACATTTGAAATTTTATCTTCTATCTGCTTGTTCATAAATGGCCAAACAAAACATCTCTAGCTCTTTTCTTACATTTTCTATACCAAAATGACCCTCATGAATTAAATTTAACATTTCCTTTTGCATAGATAAAGGAATAATTACCCTTCCTCCTTTGAAAAATAAATCATTTTCCATTGTCAACTCATCACTGTAGTCCCAAAATACTTTGACTTGAGGTTCTACCTGATGTTTCCTTTCTGGCCAGCCTCTCAGAATATATTTCTTTAAGTACTGTAGTGTAGCATCACATTCACTTTCTTTCTTTAATTCATAAATTTTGTCATCAGATGCTGGAATCAGTGTACAAATTTCTGTATCTTCATCATTATCTTCTTCTGTTGTATTCAAATATGCTCTGCTCAAAGTGTCTGCTATTAATAAGTCTTTCCCCTTTTTGTATCGTACATCTAGATCATATTTCTGTAAATTTAACAGCATTCTTTGCAATCGCTGTGGTGCTTTAAAAAGAGGTTTCTTAGTTATGCTTTCTAATGGTCGATGATCAGTTTCAACTGTAATACGTTTGCCATATATATTGATGAAATTTAGAACATCCAAAAGTAATAGCTAAAAGCTCTTTTTCTATCTGAGCATAATTTTTCTGACTTTTTGTTAGAGCTCTGGAAGCATAAGCAATTGGTTGGTTTTCTTGTAGTAAAACAGCACCTAATCCTTCAGAACTTGCATCCACTGAAAGAGTTACATGCTTATTAACATCATAGAATTTTAATACGGGTGCTTTTGCAATCAGTTCTTTAAGTGTTTCGAAAGCTTTTTGATGCTTTTCAGTCCAGTGCCAGAGGACATTTTTTCTCAAGTAACTGTCTTAATGGTGCTGTAATAGTAGTTAAGTTAGGAATAAATTTGGCTAAATAATTAATCATTCCCAAAAATCTTTGTAGCGAAGGCACATCTGTAGGTTCTGGCATTTTAACAATTGCTTCCACTTTAGAAAAATCAGGTTTTAGTCCATTTTCACTTAACTCGTGTCCTATATAATTCATATGATTAACTTTTATTTTACATTTAGCCTTATTGAACTTCAAATTATTTTCTCGTGCTCTCTGGAGTACTTTTTTAAGTCGTAGCTCATGTTCCTTTTCATTAGATCCCCATAAGATATCATTATAATACATACATTCAACGCCTTCTAGACCTTCTATTATTTGGCTTAATTTTCTTTGGCAAATTTCTGGAGCTGAACACATGCCAAAAGGTAATCTTTTAAATTTGTATCTGCCAAAAGGTGTATTGAATGTACACAAATTACTACTTTCTTCGTCAAGCTGGATTTGCCAAAAAGCACTATTAGCATCTAAAACAGAAAATATTTTTGTTTTTAGATGCTTATTCTAGTGACAACTTCGTCAATGGTTAACATCGGATAATGTTCTCGTTTTATAGTTTTATTTAAATCTCTAGGATCTAAACATATTCTTATTTTGTTCGGTTTTGACAACTGTGACCATTTGAATTTACCCATTCAGTTGGTTCTCTTACTTTCCTCAATTAACATTTAAATTTTCCATTCTTTGTAATTCTTTCTTAAACCTTTATCTCGTATAGCTAATGGGTATATTTTTCTTGGAGGGGAATGAATTACTGGTGTTGCATCTTGTTTTAACTGGGTTTTATATTCTCCATTCAAACAACCTAAGCCTTCAAATATATCTCTGTATTCCTCCAGTAAGTCTTCAGTGTAAACAGACATTACTTTTTGAATCGAACCTAGTCGCAAACATGATTTTAATCCTAATGTACAGAAGGTACTTTTTGTCAATAACTTGGAATTACACAACATAATTATTTTTTCCATATTGTCAATTAAGTACTACTTTTCCTAAAGTATTTATTTTATTCCCAGAGAATGTAACTAATCTTTTAATTTCAGACTTCTGTATAGGAACATTTAGCAATTTCACTTTGCTTTTAGAAATAACATTGCACATTGCTCCAGTATCTAACTGCAAATTTAGTTTACTTTTATTTATATTAACGTCAACAGTCCATTTCTCTTCCTTATTATCTGAATTAAGGTTTAATGTGCCAACATAAAATTTCTAACTCTTTCTCAGAGTCATGATTTATTAATTTAATTTGTCTATCTTTTTGTTTACCTTGACTGCTTCATTTTTTATTATATAGCTTTTACACTGACTCGCGAAATGATTTGCCTTTTACATTTATGACAGATTTTTCATATGCTGGACATATTCGATACTCATGAGATGTTCCACATTTAGAACAAACTTTTGTCTTTTGTTTATTGGTATTTACCTCTTCGTAGGTATTCTTATTATATTTACTTAGTTCTTTTTCACTAAGTTTACAGCAGTTTCCTCATCCTTTATGATTTTCATTTGATGTGCACTTATTTCAGCAGATCTGCATATATCAAGAGCTTTTTCTAATGTTAATTCTGTTTCATGTAACAATCTTGCTCTCACTATATCATCTTTAATACCACAAACAATTTTATCCTTTATTAAACTATCTGTTAATTGTGCAAACTCGCATGTTCTAGCTTTATTTCGAAGATCAGTTACGTATTCATCTATGGTTTCTGACGCGGTTTGATTTCTAGTAAAGGAAGAAATGTCTTTCATATGTAATGTTTTTCTTAGGAATGCAATATTCTGTAAAATTTTGTTTTAATTTCACTTAAATTTAATTTCTTGACCCTCTTCTATAGGAAATGTATTACATATTGCAAGAACCACGAATTCCTATTACATGGAAGAAAAGTATTAACTCTTACCTTCTCTTCTTCAATTATGTAATCGACTAGCTACTTCATATATTTCGAAATGATTGCAGGCCATCTTTGCCAACTTCGAAGCTAAGATTTCCATCCAAATTTCATCGGCATTGACATGGTTTTAAACTTTCCATTTTGAAAGCAAAACTCTCCTGACACCATATAAAATTATGAGGGTTCACTTTTAGCTATTAGAAACTATTTATTTGCAATCTTAGAATGTATAATCACAGAGAACTGCAATACCAGCGTAGTTCTATTTTCCAATCTGTATCCAAAGTGTTGCCAATTACAAGTTACTAAATATTAAATGTTACCATTTACAAATTATTAAATATTACAAATATAAAATATGAAAACAAATTATCCTACTTTCTATTTTGCGCTCACAAATTGTTATGGGAATATCTATTTACAGTTATTAAAGTCTGAAAAAAGCATGTCTGCGATGTTATCGTCACGCGATGATTTGTAGATACTTTATTTTTTACCACGATATTTTCGACGACGATATTTTTAAAAAACTGCGAAGTTTTTGAACCGCTTTA